TTCGAGTTCTTTTTGGGTAGGTGTTCTTTAAACCTAGTGGCGAAAGAGCGAGCAGTTTGGCCGATGTAAAAGCTCGGGCAATCGTTACATGTCATTTTGTAAATACCTGTGCTGTTTACTTTATCGGAATGTGTTTTATTTTTTTCTTTAAGCATAGTAGATAACTTGTTAGATGTTTTGTATGCAACGTGTACATCGTTCTTTGCCATTTCTTTTCTCAAGGTGTTATTGAGTACTACTCCAAATTCAGCACATACATACTTTTTGTTTCTGGGTTCTAGAATCTCTTTTGTTTTATTTTTCTGTTTTCTGATAAGTTTATCAATGAGGGAGCTTTCATATCCATTGGCAACGGCAATGTGCTTCAAAATGTTTATTTCATTGTTGTAGTTTTCTGTGGTAAGGGGTATGGATAATAGTCTGTGAACGAAACTATTGTAAGCAGCTGTCTTGTGGTTGAAAGGATGGTGTGATGACGAATGGATGGTCTGGTCAGTTGTTGTTGGTTTCCTGTAGATTTTGAATTCCATGATGTGATCAGTTCTTGTTATTGTTACGTCTAAGAAATTAATTGATTTGTTTCTTAACCGAAGCTAAATTAACCGAAACCGAAGCTAACAAATCAATTAATTTCTTAGACGTAACAATAACAAGAACTGATCACATCATGGAATTCAAAATCTACAGGAAACCAACAACAACTGACCAGACCATCCATTCGTCATCACACCATCCTTTCAACCACAAGACAGCTGCTTACAATAGTTTCGTTCACAGACTATTATCCATACCCCTTACCACAGAAAACTACAACAATGAAATAAACATTTTGAAGCACATTGCCGTTGCCAATGGATATGAAAGCTCCCTCATTGATAAACTTATCAGAAAACAGAAAAATAAAACAAAAGAGATTCTAGAACCCAGAAACAAAAAGTATGTATGTGCTGAATTTGGAGTAGTACTCAATAACACCTTGAGAAAAGAAATGGCAAAGAACGATGTACACGTTGCATACAAAACATCTAACAAGTTATCTACTATGCTTAAAGAAAAAAATAAAACACATTCCGATAAAGTAAACAGCACAGGTATTTACAAAATGACATGTAACGATTGCCCGAGCTTTTACATCGGCCAAACTGCTCGCTCTTTCGCCACTAGGTTTAAAGAACACCTACCCAAAAAGAACTCGAAATCAGCATTCGCCAACCACATAATTAACGCAAACCACAACTACAAGGACATACATAGTAATCTAGAAATTATGCATTTATGTACTAAAGGCAGATACATGGACACAATAGAGGAGTTCGAAATATACAAGGCATCCAAAGAACACCCTGACCATATATTGAACGAACAAATTTCATTCAGATCTAATATCATCTACAATACTGCCATTCATTTAAACCAAAACAAAACTGGTCCTGATAAAGGAGTTGGGGGGGAGGGGTAACAGCTGATGCTTGGACACACGACTGCAGTCATGACGCAACATCCATCGGCGCCAGTCTCGTGTGTTCGTTACTTGGCCAAGTTCGTAAATTCGTGTTTTTTAAATGTTTTTCGTGTATTATGTGTATATAGACATATTTATTTCGACAAGTTCATCTATGAATGAATGCTGTTTTATCTAACGTTCTGCCAACAACCTGATGATGTACCCTAGTGGTATGAAACAGCTGTAGTTGTACTAACTACACACGGATCGTTCGACGCAAAAAGGTAAAATAAACCATTTTTATATTACAAATTCTTGTTTTGGTTTGACTGTTTTCTTTGTTTTGGAAATAGACACTGGAGCTAAGTGAATTGCTCAACACATTTTTTTATGTTCATGTTACTCTCTTACCACCCTATTCCACAAATAGATTGAACACCGGTTTACACATTTATTTTGAAAACATTGATATGAACTGTCCAATACTTATCAACTTTTTTAATACTTCAGTATTTTTTTTCAATTCTGGCCTTACCAATAGCTGGCCACTGTATGGGAATATAAAGTATACATAAATAGGGAGGAGACAAACTCGGCAAACAACAGGACATTGTATTGTAGTAATGCAAAACCTGGAGACATTTCTGTGGAAATATTTTGAAACACCTGAAAACCAGGAGGAATTATTTAATTTTTTTTTCAAAACTATAGTTTTCATCTCTGTATGCCTAACGTAACAAATCAAACCTTGCTGTACTACTATCTAAATGACATAATAGTTTTAGCAATTCCTAAACAGTAGTAAATGAACTTTCATTCCATGCTCGCTCATATTAGGACAGAAAAAAGTGCTTTACAGTTTTTCGGAGCTTTTATGTTCAAATTATAATTAGACCTATACGGTAAATTTTGTACTTTATTGTTGAATAAGGAATTCCAGGGACCATATTTTTCAAATGCGATAATTTACCTTTTTAGAGCAAGCTTACCAGTTTTACTTTTATTTCTTTATACCATTGGCATTTTTAAGGTTTAAAGGAATCCTGAGCTGTAAAATTTTTATCCAGCCCATAGTATGATTGATTTGTGAAAATTTACCTGTCAACTCTTTTAATGTAATCTAACTATTAAAGTTGACATATGAGTTTAATTCCTTATAGCACACATTAAAAACTATATTCATCTAGAAAACTTGTGGTTGATAAGTTGAACATTTTTTTAATGCATCAGCAGAACAGATTACTGTTAAAGATATTATATTTTGTGAAGACATTTAACAATACCAATTTTAACATCAAACTACTATGGTAAAATTATATATTTCTACATCTTGACCAAAACTGTTGTCTGCATATTGACTTACAATTCAATTAAAATATTCTTCATATCATCTTCTTCATCTTCTTCAATTCTTTATTTCATATTGTACATCAAGTACATCAAATGGTATTAATACTATAAGACTTTAAAAGACACAAGCCTCTATGAAATAAAACATTAGGCCTACTGAATAGAATATTCTTCTAGAGTATATAATAGCAAAAACAACAGGTGACGCTTAAACAGTTTTTTTTTATGATTTGTAAAAATGATTTTATTTATGTGCTATGGCAGCCTTATTTAAAATTTAGCTTCAGCATAAGTGGAATTTTTAAATACAAGCCTAATCTGTGGGCAGGAGTTGATATTATATCACGATTTATTGTATTATAATTGTGGCATTCAATTAATAAATGTAAAACTAATAAATTTTGCCTGCAATAAATAATTACTTTGTAAATATACATGCTGTATAAATGGTCATTATAACCAGGTTTTAAAATTCCTCTTTGACAGTGTCTCTCAATATGATATCTCATATCTATCTATACTTATTTAATACCCAAGCAGGTTTTTGTGACAATTACTCCTCCGAAACTACTGTACATTTGACATGTTTTTGGTGTCATTGGAAAGAGCGTAACGTGAAGTTGTGCAGGAAACTTTATTTTTAGTTAAATGATAGTGAGGCCCTAGGGCCCTTCAAAGTTTCATATTTCTCCATAAGATTAACATGGGAAACAAACATTGTTATGAAACTCCAGCTGTTGTCAGAAATTGAAAGTGACAAGATGAACATATGTTAATTTTAAACAGTCAATGTGTAAAAATCAAACAGAGAGACCTTTTTACACAAAGATATGGTGTACAGGAATATCCATCTTGACAAATAAATAATTTGATTCGTAGTTTGTTCAATTATACAATAAGTTGTTTTACATTTTGAGCTTTTGAGGGACATTTGTCCCTACATGCCACTAGTTATTCTTAATGCTCCTTTTTTGCAGGATCAAAAGCCTGGCCAGATTTTTTTTCTTGTAGCACCGTAGATGCAAACACAAAAATTTATATTTTAATGACTACGGTACATATAGGCAAAATATATAATTTTTAGTGTTTTGTGATTACAAAGATTGGCTAGTTTATACAATGCATACAAACTAGAGGGGACTTTTTTAGCTACGTGTTCAATATGTAAATCCCAACTTAAATTGTTGCTTATTATCTAACCTACAAATTTAGTGAATTTTACTAACTTTTTATACTTTTTATATGATTTGTGATTATCAAAGTGTCAGTTATGACATATTTTAAGGGGTGTACTATTCCAATCAATTTGCATTGCTTCAATTAGTTCATTTTTTTAACTAGGTACATTAGTTTTTCAGTACATGACTTCAGTTTTACTGATAATTGCCAGCAATTGTATTTTATAATCACAATAAGGGTTTAAAATATGTGACAACCAACCAACATGATTTTGGTCAGATGGACATGTCAAATGGTGGAAGGAGAACTTAAGATGAAATTCTTTTTAGGTGAACTACTCTAAATAAATTAAATGTGAGATGGAAGAGTTGTAGAATTCAGTAAACTCAATTGGTCCTTTTAATTTTCAATTTATAATTTTCGTTTCTAGTTACTTTTTGAATTTATAAGTGCTTTAATTCAGAATTTTTATAATTTAAAATATGTACTTAAAATAGAGAAAAGTAGGCAAGTGTGATTGTTTCAGTCAAAATATTTATCTCAGTTTAAATATTAGAATTTTAATAAGACATAAAAGCAATTGCATTTTGCCTTATTCTAATTTTTGTTCTAGTCCAAACGCTTTTATCAGCTCAAATGTAGACATTTTAACAACATATTAGAACAATAAGAATAAATTCCAATAAAATTAAGTTGATTATTTATTTATTCATTGCTTTTAACAATTATTACATTGTGTCGCAAATTGTTCTGATCAAATGTCGTCTAGCCTTAGTTTAAAAATTCTTATTTCAGTTTACCTATTGGAATCCAAACAAGAGGCTCAAGCACTAAACTGTTCTTGAGCCTTTTACCTTAGTCTAATATTGTTCATGTTCAAATATTTATTTCAGTTTAAATATTGGAATTCTAATAAAAGACAAAGGCAAATAAAAATGTTTAGACTTTTTGCACTTATAGGGTGATTTCTTAAAACCTCTTAAATTGTTATTGTTATTATGGTAAGTATCAATGTTGTGAATTTCAGGAAAATACAGATCTGTAAACATAGCCACAGCAGAAGAAGGTGAGTTAGAGATGTTGGTGCCAGAAATGGTAGAGTTTGTGGTGTTCATTTTGCACCCTGTAGTTCTTTATCTGTAGGATTTGGTTGGAGTCTGTTACTTTTTTCAAAGGTTTGAACTCCCCGTTATCTTTTAATGTTCAACTCTTAAGAACTTCCCCACCAGTTTCATCCCTGTTTTAAGTGCAGCTCTTCAGTTGAGATTTGAACCTTTTCTATTTCCCCTATTTTCCAAGTATTTACTCATGGTGAAAATCCAAGGAGATAAGTGGAAATCTTTTTAAAATCCTTCCAATGACTGGATTTTCTCCCACTTCCCTATTACCTCTTTGGTTCCTATTTTGTGTTTTCTAAACAGTTTTGTTCATAAATTTTCTTAAGTCTTTTTGAAACTACAGTATCATTTATAGTAAATCCATTTGACTGGTGAAATTGGATAAAAAATTAGGTTTCCCAAAAAGAAACTGTAATTCATCACAGTATTAAAATTTAATAATGGTTATTAATTTTCAAAATTAAATATTCTAAAATAGCAAAGTGAATGTTGAAACTCTTTTTTTCTAAAGTTTACCACTCTAGTGAAGTAAAAGACAAGAGAATGTTTCAGGTAATCTGTTTGATGAAGACGAGGTACTACATTGGATGATCAAGCAGAAGACTGACGAGAGTATTGAAGACATTGATAGAGAAACGTTGTTTGAGTACATCGACACTAAGGAGTTCCTGGCAGTGGTGTTTTGTGAGTAAACTTGTACAACAGATAGTTAAAATATTATAAACTCTAGATATATTTTGTAAACTCTAAGATTGTTAATATCTGACTATTTTGAAACACTATCAAGCGTATGTATTCATATTATTTGCCTCCTAGATTGAAACCAATTAAAATTCTAAGGGTACCTATTCTTTCCACCGCCCTCAATCCTTATAGTGTTTCCATGACTTTAGTTTCAAGGGTTAAGGTGCATCATTGTCAAATTTCTTGTTTTCTCTATTTTCGTGACTTTTCATATTCACTCACACATTATAGTATGCTTAGCGTACTGTATGATCAATGTCCATACATTTTTAAGTATGAGAGTTATTTGAGTTATTTTATGTATAAGAGATCGTCTACAGTATTCCCTTCCTCATTCTCTTCTTGTTGTGAAGCACGGGTATAGTGGCTAGTAAATAATATTGTTAACCAATTTAACCAACTATTTCAAGTCACGAACCTTTATTTGTAACGGTTGTTTGCAGACTTGGAAGAGGACCCGTTCACAGTCAAAGTGCTGCGTCATGTTGAGTTGATTGATGACGAAGCGTCCGAGTACGGGATCAAGATCGTCAAGTGTTCTGACCGACTCATGGCCAAGAAGTACGGCTATCGCAACCCTCCTGGTGTCACGTACTTCCGCAAAGGGAAATACATCAACTACGATGGTAAGGCAATTTGTGTTATGAGAAGAAGAAAAAGAGAAGAAAATGTGTTATGCTGACTAAAGAATTTCCTTGAACAATCAAAACAGACAACACTCATCAACACTGTGTGCTACATAGTTTGATTCTGCTCCATGTCCACAAGACTTATCATATTCTGTCCGCATTTGAACGCCTAATAATCATTCCTACCTAACCTATCCCAGTCAGAAAACAATTGAGCTGTCCCGTACTGAGGAAGGACCCTGCCTACCTTTGCCATTGAGTCGGACAGTTAATGGTTCCTACAGTTTTAACACCACTTCATTCTGTTGAACTGTTACTAACTATGTATCCTTGTTTTTTCAGGAGACATTGATGATGACGAAGAGCTTCTTGATTGGCTGACAGATCCACAAAACATGGAGCTGACGGAACACATAGAGAAAGTCAACCGGAAAATGTTCAACAAAATACGGCAGACATCTGATTACATCGCAGCATTCTTCTGTGAGTCTTTCACTTCTTATTTAAATTTCATGACAACTTTCACATTTTGATTTTACAAAAATTTCAAAGAAATTGTATTTAATTATATTTTTTAGTTCTTATAGCGGATACACTATTATTGGAAAAGTGGAATAAGTTGATAAAATTTTAGCTTCCATTACAGTGGATGACCCGGGTCTCGGCTCTTGTTAAGCCATAGTCATATCCATCAGGGATAAACACTTATCCATCTCTCAATGAATATTTCTGAATAAGCTTGTTAACTATTTGGGTTTGACTGACTTTACCACTAGTGTGTCGGATGAGTAGAAGTGTTTGAGGTGTTCTGTCTAGACAGTGACGACTGCAAGCAGTGCGACCGAGTGCTGGCCGAGATAGAACACATTGATGACGAGGCCGAGGGTGCAGGAATAGACTTTGTCAAGATTGACGACAAGCAGATGGCTAAGGAGTTCGGAGTCTTTGCTCTGCCCGCTGTACTGTTTTTCAAAATGAGCTCCAAGGAACCCGTCATCTATGCTGGTGAGGCTGATTCATTAAAAGTAATTCTAAGGACTTCTTTTAGGCACCTTAGGTTAGATAATCAAGACTCTACTGTCTCTCTGACTGTATCTACATCAAACTATAAAAGAAGATACCAAATTGCTGCTTGATGGGGTGTATTACAAACACTATGTAGATGATTTTTCAAATGATGTATTTATTCAATTTATTAGCATATTTTTTAGTTATTATAGTTTTATTTATTTTAATTATCCATACATTAATTATCCAACATTTTACCTGTTTTCCAGCTATGCTAGATCTGCAAACATTTTGTGAAAATAAATTATTGAATTTAATTGAATTAATAGCCCCTTGACTGTTCCTTTGAGAGTCAGCCACAAAGATCTTTTTGCGTTCAATTTCATCACACTAAAGGTAGAATTTCAAACCAAACTACATCATCTATGAGCCCACCTAAGCATGGGTCTGCCTCTCAACATAAAGGTGAATTTCCTCACCTCAGTAAGCTCTGTGCAGTCAAGCTAGGTGATAGAATGTAATAAAATTGACAATACTTAAATGCTTTGTCCTCATTCTGGACCCTCAAGCAGTCTAATCTTGTTATTTTCACGAGCCAGCAAATAATCTCTCAAAATGTATATTGGCAATAGTATTTGGAAAACAAAAATCTTTTCCAGGTGACCTATACGAAGAACAAGACATTCTGAACTGGCTGCTCACACAGAAGGATCCGTCAGGCGATGTCATCGATGAAGTCAACGGAGACGAGCTCTTGAAAACAATTCAGGAATCTGAGGCCTTGGCAGTTTATTTCTGTAAGACAAATTTTCAATTTACTATCTGTTTTTGCTGAGTAAACTGTAGACAAATTTGATGTACGCTTGACACAGTTAAGAGTTTAGTATATGCTTGAGTAACAAAAAAAAATAAACAATTTGTAATAAAACAAATATTATGTGCTTTTTTTTTTAAAATACTATAACCTTTTTACAATAAAAACAATGAATGTGGTTTTTAATACTAAAAAACAAAAGCACAACAAGTACAACTAACTCTTGCAGTTTATAAAACCCTATAAAAACTTAATTCACAACAAGTGAACTTAAAAACCAGTGTATTATTTTAACAGTTTCGGGTCCCAATTAATTATTTTCAGTAAATATTTTTTTTATTTAAAGGTCTTACATAGGGGTCACCAGCAAGGTTTTGTTAACATTTTTGTTGATTGGCCCAAAATATGTTTATGGTGGCTTGGCTACACACATGAACTCCATGTTAATTAACCATTTAAGGAGGTAAGTCAACTATAAGTAAAACACACTTATTTTTCAACATTTTGTCTTCATTTTAATGTATATACACCTATGTCAATTAAGGTAAGAATGGCCGGCTTTTTAACCCTGATAACTTGGCTGTCTTTGGTGCTTTTGGTGTTGTGATGTCCAAAAAAGAAAATACAAGTAATTTTAAATGGTCATACATTTTTAGTTTAAGTTGCTATAGGTTAAAAAAATCTCACCATTAAAACAATCAGGTAAACTATAGCAGGTCTTCCTGAACTAGTATAAAATTAAACTAGTGGTGGTTTTTGGTTGCATTGAATATTGTTCCCCTTTTGCCACTACTAAAAGTGGAATTTATTCTAACTCTCAGTTTAATTCCTCAACAAAAGTATTCATGCAAACAACCTACAAATCAAAAGATATTAGCTGTCAATCGATTGTCATTTTTAAAATATTGTCTATGTTTCTCAATATCTAATATATCAAATGCAATTTACGGTATGTCCTTTTCCTTTACATTACCACACCGTCCATCCCATTGCCGTTAAGGTTTGTACCTGTGAAGTTTTCTGTTTTATTGCTAATCCTAAAACTCTGCCTCTGGGCTTCCAAAATCACCATGTTAAGGTTTATCAGAATTATTTAATTTGCTTGGAAATGATAAGAAAGTTACGATGTTTAAACTCGTTATGTTAACATTTTGCAAATGCTTTACTTTACACTTTCAAACACACGACTTAAAACTAAAATAGAGTGACAACTAAAAATGATTTTGTTTTTAAGTTATAGGATTTGTCGTTGTTTTGTAATGGGCATAAGCCTGACAAATTGCTTTCTGGTATATGAGATGTTATTTAACTGTAAAACTTCAATCCAAAACCTTCACTTCTGTTTGCTTACAAATGACCTTCTGTTTGACACTACAGGCCAAGACAGTTTATATTCTGGTAATAGTTCAGCCATCAACCCCTGTCTTAGTGAGTACGGAGGGCTTCACACAGCTTTTGTCTGTCTGTAGCCTAACACCGATGTCATTTGTGTATATCAGCTTGCGCTTTGTTGATTGTAACATTCAGTAAGTCGTCATTCCATCAGTGATTAACTTTTGCCACTTTAAAATTTTTGTCTATTATTATTGTCCCAAAGGAGTAAAATGTTAGTATATTATACTCATAAAAAATAACACGAAAGCAATAGTTGTTTGGTGTGTAAAATTTGCAAGCTGTTGAACCCATTTGAAAATATTAAATCTCAGAATGTTTTGTTTTCAAAAAGATTGAAAGAATTAAGGAACCTGTATTATTTGGGTATAGACATGTAGATTTTAATATTTAAATCATAGTGTTTATGCTGTATAGCCATACCATACCATTCTCCCATATACCATTAAGAAGTCGCTAAAAAAACATGGTAGGCCTAGGTCGTAAAATTAAGAGTAGCTGCACAAGTTTAAAAAAAAATTCTAGCTGATAGACTTCTGAAGTATATTACAACGTCTTGGGTTTGGATTCACTTTAAGTGTTTAAAATAATGTATGTTTAAATGGATTCAAGTTGTAGGATTCATAAGATAAAAGACAAACATAAATCCCATTATCTCTGTAGGAATAACTTGTAACAAAGTCTACCGACCTCCAAAAATTCCTTAAAATGCTGAAAAGAAAATAAATAAATCTCACATAGTTTTGAATGAAAAATGCATGTCCCTAGGTTGATTTCCCCAATCTTGTTGCATATGCCTCACTCAAAAAAATCAAAAATAATTGTAGAGAATGTTAAACAATTTTAACCGATCTTCAGTTAAACTCTAACACATATGTCTAAGTGCGGTTAAGTAAGGGAGTGGTGTGTCGGTAGGGAACAAGACTCTTTGCGACCTATGCAATTCCAAGGCGTATCGCAAGCAACAGGCTAAGAAACATCTGGAGGTGGATCCGGCAGTGGAGGAAGACACGGAAGATAGTGAGGCAGACTCCTTGAATGATCATAACCCTGGTAGATTCCTTGACTGCGAGTGGCGTTCCTGTAGTTTAGCACCACTTCACGATAGGCCTAGAGAAATTTTTGATTTTTGTGATATTTTTGATTTTTATTTTTAGTGAGGTTTTAAATTAAAACAAATCTCTTTTACTTTTCCCGTAAAGTTTAACATTTTATTTATCAGCTTTGAGTAATTGTAAGTAAAAAGATACATGTATGTTGGGTAAGAATCATAACATGTTTTTAAATGTGTTTTTCAGTAAATAATATATAGTGCTTATTAGATGGGTGGTTAGTTTTGGTTGTAAGAATCTGGAGTAAGTGGATAGGTGTGGTAAATTTTAAAAGTGGTGGAATACCCTAAACATTTATGAAATCTTGAAATTTAAATTAATTTTTGTGTTAACTTGAATGAATAAAAGATGGGATTGAACTTAAACATACAAAAATTTACTATTTAATTTTTTGTATGATTATTGATATCATTTAATATTTTATTCAAAGTCAATAATGTATTTATTATTAAATTCTTCAAAAATTACAATAGTTACAAGTAAGTTTTTATATTTTTTATACTTTAAATTTGTATTTATATACAGGGTGTTTATAAAAGAGTGCTGGAATTTTAAATGGCAATTGCTTGGATACTATTCAAGATAACAAAATGTTTTATACGACACATTTAAGCTAAAATAACTAAGTTTTGTTTCCCGTGTAGCAAGGGAGGAAACTTTAACCTTGGCATGCGCAAAACCGGTGCAGGGTGGTAGGCCGCTATTGCAACTCACACGTCTGACGCCAGTCGCGGTGCAATATTTACAGCGCAACAGACGGCACAGAGTGTAATCTGCGCTCCACATAGTTCATATCGATTGCTAAATTAAACTAAATTTAAATCTATTTGATGATAAAGAAATTTGACGCTGATTTAATGAGTTTTGTGGCACCGTAGTGTTTTGAAAAGACATTCAACTGGCCGCCTAAAAACAAGCGATGACATATAGTCTAAGAAATCCGACAATTCTGCATTTGAAGCCCCAAAACATCGATTGCCCGACAAAGTCTTTAGTTTAACATACCTAAATCAACACTTCATGATGATATCTGTAAAATATAGTCTTTCTGCCTAAAAAAAGGTTCAGTTAAGACATGAGATTAACCCACCGATCGCCCTAAGCGTACAGACTTAGCCATTTTTACGCTGATATAAGATTAATTAATATCTGAATTTTATTAAATTATTCCAAATCGCATCAAAGTTTGAGAAAAAACTTTGTTCTTTTCCCTTCAATTTGATATTCAAACCATTTAATTATCTTGAATAGTCATCGAGCAATGACCGTTTAGAATCCCGGCATTCCTTTATAAACACCCTGTATAATCATTGCAATTTTCAATAAGCTTGGCAATTTGATAGGTAAAGTAACACAATTTCTTTTAAATAATTATTAAATTATAGTTATTAAATTAGCTATACGTTTTAGTAAAGGGGTTTGATTTTTTTTTTAATTTTTTGTCAACCCATTTTTATATTTTATTGCAGAAGTTTGCAATTATTTTTCATAATCATTTTGATTTTACGTATAATGTTTTGCTTTTATAAAAAAATTGTGTTGTGAAAGTCAAGATAAGATGAAAATTTTTCATCAGACCAGCCAGAGACTGTAAGATTGGACAACTTAGGAAATGGTGCTGGTAAATCATTTTCCCTAGTTTTCCAAAATGTTTTATCACCCTACTTTCACCCCATTGTATTGGCTTTCATGTAATATCATTTACCTGAATGAATATTGTGGATTCCGATCATTCTTAGTTCATTAGTTTGGCTTCTTTGCTTGCAACAACCCCTTCTCTCTCTATTCTTTTTAAGAAAATTTCTTAGCTAAGTAGTTTTAGACTGCCAAGGCTTTACAGCTGCTCTATTTAATTTAATATACAGGGTGAGTTTTAAATGTCCCCCCCCCAACTTTTTTCTACATTTTTTCAAATATCAATCCCAGACCACTTCCAAACATTGTTGGGTAGTAAGTACTTCATTTTGACAAGGTGGTCATTTCCGGCCGCCATCTTGGATCCGCCATATTGGATGCAAAATTTTTTTTTCAAATGTAAAGGTGGGGTTGTGACCCATTATTTTGAACTAAATTTTTACCCTGATTACAATGCCACAAACCGTTTAAAAAAATCTTGATTCATTCAAAAGTTATGAGGGCTTTTTAAAACTTTATTTTTAGCCCATTTTAACATTGTGCATTTACAAACTAAGGACCATAATCTCAAAATAGTGCTAGATAAAGACAAGTATACACTACCAGTCATTGTCGACTTATTTTCACTTGGTTATGACTGATAGAATTTTTTCGGCCGCCATCTTGGATCCGCCATTTTGAAATATGATAAATTATTTTAAATATGACGGGGGTGTTGTGACCCATCATTTCGGATTACTTTTTTAAGCTGAACTCAATTCCATGATCCGTTTTTCATTTTCATATTTTGATTTTGAAATATTCACATTTTTAACAAAAAAAATGCAATATCTCATAAATAAAACTTGATAACTAAAAAATGATTGCGGCATTAAGTTAAGCTTAAAAAAGTAGTTCGAAATGATGGGTCACAACACACCCTTCATATTTAAAATAATATATCACATTTCAAAATGGCGGATCCAAGATGGCGGCCGAAAAAAATACATCAATCATAACGAAGGGAAAATATGTTGACAATGACTGGTAGTGTATACTTATCTTTATCTAGCACTTTTTTGAGATTATGGTCTTAGTTTGTAAATACGTAATGTTAAAATGGGCTGAAAATGAAGTTTTAAAAAGCCCTCATAACTTTTGAATGAATCAAGATTTTTAAAAACGGTTTATGGCATTGTAATCAGGGTAAAAATCTAATTTGAAATAATGGGTCACAACCCCACCTTTACTTTTGAAAAAAATATTTTGCATCCAATATGGCGGATCCATGATGGCGGCCGGAAATGATCACCTTGTCAAAATGAAGTACTTTTTACCCAACAATGTTTGGAAGTGGTCTGGGATTGATATTTAAAAAAGTGTAGAAAAAAGTTAGGGGGGGGGACAATTAAAACTCACCCTGTATACAACTGTTTGTACATTATTATTTACTCTACTAATTGTGATTTTTTTTGTGTTTTACGTGTAAAATTTGGAGTTATAATGCATGGAGTAGAATCATGTTAAAGTAGTCAGAGATGAGTAATACATATTATAGTGTGTAATGTAAAACAAATTATATAATAGGCCTACATGTATAATATAATCTAAAATGTGTTTAGTGAACCTACATTTAATTTTTTTCACTGCCACCCTTAGGGCAGAAACACACATACGGCAATTGGGAGCAAGAGCGAGCTAAAGCGAGGCGACTGAGAGCGACTGACATCACACACATACAGCGACTAGTGAGAGCGACACAAACGGGAACTTGATCAGTTCCAAGATGTCACATAGACATAGTACTGGATAGTTAAGTTTGCACACAATTTGCAGCACAGCGAAAACAATAACATATTCATTTTGCGAGCTTCAAACTTGTTGGAGTCGGTGCATAAAGTGAATGAAGGGAGATGAATGGTGAATATCACTATTCGTTTCCAGTTCTTAAGAAGCATGAATCACGATTCGTGCTGTACATGCGTATGTCTATCGGCTCATGTTAAACTTCTGTAACTTAACCTCCTTGAATTGAATTGCTCAATGAACTATCAAAATTTATCAAAATTAGTCTATCTATATCTATAACTATAACTGGTTTCTGATCATTCAAAACATATTCAACCCCACCCGAGACCCCAGTATTTGAGACAAGCTTAATTTCAAACTCCTTAGCTAACCTAAATTACTTTGAATTAAATCTAAATTAATTATCAAAAGTAGGGTCCTGTTACAATGGTCAGACAGCATAATAGATAATGTAGCCTATATATGGAAATGACCTCCACACAGGGACTTGAGCAGACTGACTTATATCAGCAATCTGGCTTAATAAAGGACTTTAACAAAGCAGTTTCCCGCTCTGCTCTTAAGCGCTCGAAAAACAAACAAGATTGTTCAAAAGTTAATCGCTATGCTCCCAACAGCTGTTTGTGTGCGCGTTACTACTTGATTGTATGGATTTGATTTTGTCGCTCTAAATCGCGCCGCTCCGCTCCCAATCGCTGTATGTGTGTTTCTAACCCCTATGGATCAACTGGAGACAGAGTGTTTTTTTTTCTCTATGTAGAGTGTGTATTTTTTTTACTGTTTATTTTGAGTTATTATTGAACTCCATTAAAACAAATTAAAACAATCCATAGTGCTTGAAATGGAATTGTAACAAAAGAGTACACGACACTGTAAAATTTATCCTCAAAAGAGATCAATATTTAGTTACCATCAGAGAACTCAAGCGTAACCATACTACTCAGCAAAACAAGGGATGTGCAGTATGAGAGAGTCAACTGTATATGGCTGCCATAAGGAGCCGAACCCCAGCCGTCACGCTATCGATCGAGCCACAGACTCACTTAATAAAATTACTGAAGAGTATTACATTCATTAGTCGGTATTACTTTCTCAAGACTCAAATTTTACCTTTTTTAAAAAAGTTTAAAATAAACTTAATACTGATTTAAAAATAGGATTATGTTACCTGTACTACTATAGTTTGATTCTATGAATCCTGGACGCAAAAATTAATAAAATATAATTAGAAAAGAATATAACAGTTTTCAATCAAAAGTATTTAAAATACATAAAAATGCATTAAATATTACTATATTAACAAATAACTTATATCGTTTTCAATTAAGCTGTGTGTACAAGTGCTGTACTTAGATCATTTTGTTTCATCCTCCAGACAAAAGTGACGAATGTGACCAATGCAAGGAGATCTTGGAAGAGTTGGAGAACATTGACGATGATTGTGATCGTCACGGAATCACCTTCGTCAAAACACAGGTTCCACTTGTTTACATACTTGTAGTTCAATATAAATATTTGTTATTAATAGTAGCCTACTACGGATTAATGATAAACTTCATAGTTTGATTTTATGTTTAAATTTGCAAGGGGTAAGATAGTCCTTCCTATGCAGGGTCCCTGTGTCCCCAATAGGGCCCCCTGGGTCCCCTGTTTAATTTGTGACTTTTCATAATGTTTGACAACAACGTGTATTTTTCCATTACCCCTATGCCTCTGATGCTTTTTGAAAATTTATAGATGAAATAATAATGTCACTGTATAATATATTCATTTTTGTAATTAATATTTCTTTTAAAGCTTATATATTTTAGACCTTTTAGAATTAAGAAATCAATATGAGCTATACAAAATAATTCAGACTCAAATGAGGCTTTTTTTCTGTTGTTGATAAAACTTTAATTTCAACAGGACTTTAAGGTGGCCATGGATTTTGGTGTGAGTGATTTTCCATCGCTAGTCTATTTTGAACATCAAGTGCCAAACGTGTTTGAAGGTAAATACACTTCATTATATTGAATTTTAGCCTCCTGATCACAGTTAAATACTAAATAATGGTGTAAATACCTGCATTCATGTGATCAATTTGTTGCTAATTTAGCAACAAATTGATCACATGAATGCAGGTATTTACACCATTATTTAGTAAATACACTTCATATTTTAATGCAGAGCCTCATTATTAACTCTTTAGAAGTAAAAGAAATAGCTCGTGTTGTGAGGTATGCATAGTTTTGTAACACTATGTACATGTACAATAAAAAAATTCAGTCAAATACATTTTATTTCAAATATTTTTATCTTAACCCATGCATTCTAACTTAACAACATTTTTTCAGCAACATTCTCCTTCAATTTATCTACAGCATAGGTTTCAGTTAAAACATTTAAATGCATACTGGTTTTATAATTGCATAGTCTTAAGTTTTGATTTAAAATGTAATGTAAAAACTAGAAATATCCAATCATTTTGATTAGGTACTCAATGTGATCTTGATAAACTGTTTGTTTAGAATAACTAACAGTATGTTAAGTAAAAAAGTTAAAAGGCGTTAGTGACATTTGACTTATCAAAATGTTGATTCATCGAAGGTTTGGTTTATCAAAGATGTACTGTATCTCTGAACTATAGGTATCCTGACCGAGGAGGAGGAAGTGTTGCAATGGTTGATAACTCAGAGGACCGAGGACAGAATTGAACTGATAACAAGAGTAATGCTGGAGGAGATGGTGGAGGGAACTCAGTACCTGGCTGTGTACTTCTGTGAGTTGCACTGGTGTTAAATATGACATAAACATTGTATAGTCAATGTAATCAACTAGATATTGAAGGAATTTTTTTACACTAATGTATGTTAGTGTAAAATTATAACTTAAGTTTTGACAGTAAAATCCAGGGTGTTTAGAACACCCTAAAAATTAAAAAAAACTTACTTAAACATTCAACCTACTTCCAAACCACCTCTAGAAAATAACAGAGGAAATACATTTCAAGATTGAAACACAAAAATGGTCGTCAAAAATTCCTTAGTTGGAAAAATCTTTAATTTGATCAAAAGTATTAGAAATTGTATTTCTCATTACACAATACAGATGCAATAGAATTAGGGCCTTTTCCACAATCAATACTACTTCAAAGCAAAACTAACCATCTAATTTGAGGGTAAAACCCAACCACTCAAAGACCTGATCAATGAATTCATCAAATATTTAAACCAAATAAAAAATGGTTCACAAATAATTAAATTTCCATTGAAAGTTGATCGTTATTTTCATAAGGCACACACTGAAGCAATCAATTTTAACTTGCTTTTATTTTTCAGACAAGCTCAACTGCCACATCTGTGATGAGATTCTAGAAGGGCTGGAGAAAATTGACGATGAGTGTGACGTGTTCGGTATCCACATGGTGAAGATACAGGATCCGCAACTCGCCAAGCGATACTCCATCAAAACATTCCCCGCCATGGTGTACTTCCGCAACGGAAACCCCCTGCTCTTTGAAGGTACTTCAGATTATGTTTTACCTTAAATAATGTTCTATGTTTTATTTGATTAAAAAAATAAGCGAACTGGAAGATTTGATTGAGGAGAATTGCTATCTGATGTCAGTTACGTTGATAAATGTGAATTCAAGTTATTTTTAAGATGTGAAGATTAGGAACAAAATCTGTATAACTCTCGTGGAATGAATTTTACCATTTGAGCTCTAATGGGCGATATATCACAGATGTTTTATTGTTGTTAGTGCGGTTTACAGTTAGGCCTAAGCAATGTCTGACCATACAACACCATTGATCAAGGCTCCGAATCCCATCTCGGTCAAGTGTTGTGTAACTGAGTAGCTGAACTGTCTGTAGCTCAGTGGGAGAGACATATATATATATGAAATAAATTATATATTGCTCACGTGAAATTACTTAATACCGTTGACCTAGAGGTCAAAGGGTTTTCAATAAAGTGTTTTCGGTCGGTGAGTCTATGAGGGGAAAGTAATGAGAGGTAAAGTAGCATGGGTTATGGCACTAGGAGATTGCTGAGAGTACACTGTATTTAAGGTGACCTCCAAAATGAAGAGTCTGTGCTGGAGTGGCTGGTAGACGATGACAACAGAGAACTAGCAGACGAGATAGAACAGGTCAACAACAGAATGCTGGAACGTCTTCTTGACCAGTCTCTCTATCTCGCTGTATTTTTCTGTAAGTGTTCTGTTATTGCTTTCCTCATTTATATCTTCTAAAATACAAAACTCAGGTGTCTTAAAAGATTTGAAGAGTTTTCTCGTTATGGGAGGAATTGTAGAACTCCTCCATCACTAAAAGGTTAAAACAGTTTTCAGATGTTTTCAATCAAGAAGAATTTGTATTTATTTAATGCCTGAATTTTATCATAGGTACCCAAATAGTCACAAGATTACTTCAATAGTAATTTAAAAAGTCTAGAATAAGCAGGAAAACCATATAGAAATTGTATTATTGTAATAACAGATAAACATTACAAATATGTTATGCCTAAATTTTACAGACAAAAAATAAGCTCAATAAGAAAAAAAAACAATACATTGCAATAACAATTTAAATTCCCTCCCTCGAGTTAATTTGGCCAAGTGCTGCAAGTAGGCCTACCCTAAATTACTGATAGACTTCTGTATTCCTTTGAAGTTGAGTTTGTTACCGTGTGTATAATCTAAGCTTCCCAAGATCCATTATCAACCTTAACATTGAAATCACCACAGCTATTATAAATAAAATGTACTTGTGACATGCTGGGGACTAAATCATAACAATGGTTTTTTTTCTAGATGATGAAGATTGTCCTGAATGTGATGAGATTCTGGAAGAACTGGAAATGATTGATGATGAGGCAGATCTGTATGGTGAGTTGATTTTGTTTTAAATTTGAATAAGTACTAGGGCAATCACGGCACTGGCTGAATACCACGTTAGAGTATTTGCCAACAAGTCGTCATTTCCACTTGTGAAAGATTTATTCCAAAGAAAGTACTCAAATTAATATAAAGGAAAATTTATCACTCATTATACTGATAGTTTACTGCTTGGTATTGGGTAAAAAAAACAATTAAGGTTAAAATTGTACAAACATATTATCTGCATCCTTTGATTCAACTAATTGATAAGGACTTATCCACTACAAAACTCCTATTAGAATACCTTGAAATTCACTTAAAATTAAAAAAAATTTCTTAGTAGACACTCCCTTTACACATGGGGTAGTAATGCACATCCCTCATCCTTACTGGTTATCACCCCTCCGCACCCTTTACTTGAACCTAGTTATCCCCACAGGTATGGAAAATATTGGTGTTTTAAGTTGGACATGACAATCTGTCATTGTATATTGTATACAATTTATTTATTGACAATGTTTTCCCTCCAGGTATTGACATGGTGAAAATCTCAGATCCAGAAGCATCTGCTAGATACAATATCATCCACACGCCTTCACTGATCTACTTCCGCAAGAGAGTTCCTCTAGCTTATGATGGTAATTTGTTTTAAACATTGAAACTATTGATTTTAAACACTTAATTAAATACTTTACTGAAGATGAGTATTTAAATTTGCTGCATTTATGATCATGAACTGTTGAAATGTAAACTGTTCAAATAATGACTATTATTTTTTCCCACCATAAATTCAGAATTAAAATGTTTTTTGTTCAAATGAATTGTTTAGCTTATATTATGTTTACGAGGGTGTAACTGTAAAAAAAGGACCATGTGGTCCTATTTTTCAATTCAATAAAATAGTATATTACGTTACTAGTCTAGAAAATAGGTGGTTACCGGACAAGTGTGGTTGTTCCTTTTTATTTCCTGTCCGTATGGGATAATCATGCAAGTACAGTAACATTTTGTGACGTACAGTAATTTTTGCCATTACTAATCCTAAACTAACCTAACAATAAAACAACTGTCAAAACCGTTAAAATGTTCCCACTGATGGGCCTAACAATCACTTTACTCATAACTTATCTGAGAGATTATGTTATGGTTTGAAATCACTCACTGCCATTAGAATATTAGAAATAAGTTTAATGTGTAAAGTTGTATGGGCTAAACATGATTTGTAAGTTTAATACCATTAATGTAAACAAGTGTGTTTAGGCCTATCAATGTCAATTAAATGTTTACTTTGTCTTTCCGTAATTAAATGTTTGTATTCGTTTATTTATTGTGTGCGTGTGACATCGATGTCTTCATTTTTGTAACCCTGACGATGCCGTATTTACGGCAAAACATGTAGGTTGTTAACCTCAATCAACATTTGGATTACTTGACGAGGTATTGTGCCATTATTATAGTCAAGTGTGTTGTTTAAGATTAAGTTTTTTTTATAGGAATTTTGACCCTATTATACAATCAATTCTGTGCAACAATATAATAACTTCTTATTTCATTTGTAAAGTTTGTTATGTTGATAATTATTTATGTTTATGAAATATCTGAGGTGTTGCCTCAGTTGCGCGTGTGACGTCACCCGCCGACCATTGTGGTTTTGCTCTCAATTCACACAGCTGCCATCTGTCAAATTCTTTGTTATTGTTGTTTGTTTTTCATTTATTTATTTTCACAGAACTTACAAAAAAACAAACGACAATAACAAAGAATTTGACAGGTGGCAGCTGTGTGAATTAAAAACAGCACCGGCCGGGTCGGCGGGTGACATCATACACGCCTTGTTATGTACCGTCATAGCCACCTCTAATACAAGGCTGCGGCGAGACACAAGTGGCAACACCGCAGTTTGCCATTCTGAAACAGCTGTTGCACTAATTTATAATGGAACGTATGAGCAATGTTTAATAGCCATCCTGGTGCGACGTTGCCACACATCAACACCGCGGCCTTTAATTACAGGTGGCAATGTTATGAGTAATGTTCATGTTTACTAGTTTGTTATTCCTGTGAATATGAATGATTCAAATGAATATGACTAAATCCATGCGTGGAATATCCATTCAACCAGTGTAGTGTGTGGATCTCATTCATTCATTCAATTCATACTAGCAGCAAATCCCGGCTTTGCCGGGTAAAAATATACAATGTATAGTTAGTGGTTATAAAATTAATCTTTTCTGTTTTCATAGATGTACACATACCTTGGTACTATTAAATCTAGAAATATGTTAAAAATATATTCTTTGTAGCACACATTTCCTTAAATTGCAACTAAAATATTAACACAAATTAAATTACCCGGCTGATCATAATGTAAACAAATATGTTCTTCATAAGGATAACATGGGAACTTTAAAAGCCACTGGGGCAGAGCCAAAGGGATTTTTTCAAAAATCTAAGGTCATTCTGCAAATCTACACGTATAGACGAACATTTTTTATATAATATGTGGGGTTAAATTTTAGAACAAAAAAGCCTTATTGTTTACGGTACCTACCAAGTTTCATGTAGTGTATCAGTAATTTTTATATAGATATAGATTGATTACCATTTATGTGAAATGGTGTAAATAATTTTTTTTTATAGAATCTACAAGCAATATTCTAGATTTAGTTATATCACTCCCTGTAACCACTATCTTATGTTAGTGGACAAAGAATTGCATAGAAAAAGGTTGCGTGACATAATTTGAGTTTTTATTACTTTAATGGTGGTGATTGATTAAGCCGTTTGTTAATATTTTTGTTGAATTATTTATTCATTCATGGTTCTGCTTTATGATAAGGGTTCTACAAAACGAACCATTTTTGCCAGATGAAACCAGGTTTTTCATAGTTTGTCCTTTTAGAAATTGTATCTAAAATTGTTTCCACAATTTCACAAGAGGGTCAAAAGCAACCAGATTTCGAATTTTTTGTTTTACATTTACAATTTTTATTATTTTGCTCCTAGGATTTATGCTTACAATGAAGGAACCTGTAATTATTCCAATTCATAGAAAACAATGCTGGAAAAGATGTCAGTAGTTTTGTCTAACGTTGAGATTGATCGATAATCTTCTTAATTGACATACATTTTAATACTTATACATTACCTAAAGTATTTTAGTTTTGTGATAGATTATTTCTTTGGTGTTAATCTCTATTATTTAATTTTAGGTGATTTACTGGACGAAGAAAAGCTTTTAGCCTGGTTGACATCACAGGAGATATTTGAACTAAAAAATGAAATTGAAGAAGTTAATAGAAAAATGCTTGATAAGCTGCTAGATGAGAATGAGTTCCTGGCAGTTTACTTCTGTAAGTTATTCAATATTATTGTTTTTTTTGTTTAATTTTATATTTTATATACAGCTATTTCAGTTTCAATATGTGTGTTTTTGCACCTTTAGAAATTAGTAAAAGCGTAGTGATTGTATATTATCTAGCTTAGTCAATTTCATATAGTTCAATAGTATGTGTAGTCTGGTCAAATCCAGGAATTTTGAATCTTGAATCCTAAAAAAGCCTAACCTCGAATCTTCGAATCTCGAGTCCCAAAAATAGTTACAAGTGGATGGGCTTATAGTAATTAAAAAGCAAGAATGGAATAGGAACAATTTTACATTTTTAACCAGTTAACCACCACGACGACAATAACCTCTATGGTTAGTTAATGTCACAGTACTGTACAGTAGAACCCCGGTTAACCGAAATAAAGGGGGAAGAGCCATTTCGAAAAAACCAATTTTTCGGTTAACCCGTCAAATGCTAAAATAACCAATATATAACCACGGTGTGTAGGAAAAATGAATTTAAAACAATGTCTATATAATACAGTGTTTTATTTCAGCTACAAAAATGTTCTAATGGGTCAGAACATAGTCAAAACTATAGAGAAAATGGCCTCTCTGTTTACATATTACTTATTGTACTTATATTTTAGCCCTGTATTAATTTATAGAACCGTTTCGGATAACCCGGGTTTCGGTTAACCCGGTTTTGGTTAACTGGGGTTCTACTGTATATTACAACCTCAATAACCTCTATGGTTAGTTAATGTCACAGTACTGTATATTACGACCTCAATAACCTCTATGGTTAGGCAATGTCACAGTATATGACTTATAATTCTATTAGTGTTGCTAGCCACACAAGGAAGCGTATGCTCATTTGAACTTTTCCACCACCATCACTTTGTTATCTTGTATAGTTACATAAAAAACTGCTGTTACATTGAATTAATTGGGTATTATCTAGCTTAGTCAATTTCAAATAGTTCAATAGTATGTGTAGATTTTTTTAGTGTGGCTAGCAGGAAGCGCATGCACATTTGAACTCTTCTGCCACCACCATCACTTTTGTTATCTTGTACAGTCAACTAAAAAAATTGCTGTTACATTTAATTATTTACGTCACTAATTCTATAAATAAGGTTGATGGAATTACAATCCCATTTATTTAATACACTCATTTTCTGCAAGATGGAACCATGTCACATCACTATCATGGTAGACTGATTAGGCTGATGTTTTCAAACACATAGCAGAATGCAGTTGGCCATTTACAGAGCAGTAATGGGATTGGTTACTGACCAACTGCAATGAGACCGAAAAGGCAGTCTACTATAATAGTGATGTGACATAGTTCTACTCTAAAGACCATAACAGTGCTATTTAATGTCAATAACACATTAAACTGTGGTCCAGATGAAGTTGACAATGATGAGAGTATGGATGTGTTGGAACGGTTGGAGAAGATCGACAGTGAGACAGACAACATGGATGTGACGATAGTCAAGATGGGCGACCCTCGCTATGCCCGCAAGTGGGGCGTCACCAAACTTCCCTCGGTCGTCTATTTCCGCAACCGATTCCCCAGCATCTACAGAGGTACTGTAACGCCTCTACCACAATCAATGGATATTTAGGTCACCTCAATTAAAATATATTTATTTAAAAAGACTCTTGTGAGTACAAAAGAAGTGCCTGGTACATTGGTTAGCTTGTAGGACTTCAGGCTAGGGGTCCGGGTTCCATAAATCCAATTATCAATGGCTTGTAGTGGTGTTGTAATACAATGGTTTGGAGCCCTCTTAATATTTTGGTCCATAAATCCAGAAGACCAAAATGGTAATTCCTTTAGGTAATTAAGGAGAACTTCAGAAATCTCCCTCCACACAAAGCCATTTGTTTTAAAATCAGTATAACAGGTTTAACTATATAAGTCAGTTACTCAAAAAGATTAGAAGTTGTCTGACTTAAGTATTCTCTTTGCATGTTAAACATTTTCAATTTTTAAGATTTTATAAAACAATTTTCAACATTTCCTTTATGCATACTCAGTTGTTCATTGAGTAAAGAGAAAACAACGAGGCCTACATTACAGTTTAGCACTTGCGCTTGCTGATGGTCACTTAATCCTCAATCTCAAAGATATGACCAATTTTTGGTATTTTCTTTTACTTACTTTCAGTTCTAACTCCTTAGACAATCGCTCTTATTTTATTACAACTTTGTCTCTGTACAGCAAAAAACAAAAAACAAAACTGTAAACCAATATGCAACATTTAGGAATTTTTGTAGACAAAACTATTAACCTTAAAAGCGTAAATATATTTTTTAGGTTTTGGATTGCAGTTCCACCGTGTCCCTTCCCAAATTGAGCCATAGACACTCTGAACTCTGAAATTACACTATTCATTTTCCAACAACGTTTACTATTTTTCAGGTGGGTTTGAGAACGAGCTGGATGTGCTAGAGTGGTTGCGCAAGAATCGCTACAGACAACCTGAGCTGAATCTCTTCATGTACGCTTTGATCGCCATTACTCTCGCCTTCGTCATGTACACCGTCTTCCTCATCTACGGCTTCCAACAGCCGCCAAAGGTCGCGTGAGCTCAACTCGGCTCCTCACGGAGCTAACTTCCAACTGTTTGAATCTCATCGCAGTCGTGTTGCGATTGTTATCGGAAACATAGTTTTTAAAATAAATTTTCCATTTTTGAAAGCAAAATTGACAAGTGAATTACTAAATTGACTTGGTGTTCTTAAAATTTGATGAAACTTTTTAACAAGTTAAACAGTGTTTTGGTTGGAGTTTTAACGACATTTTTCACACCGATCGGTGACACGTGTTAGCGTTGTTTACATTTCATTGCCGAGGGCCCGTGACATAGTCACAACCTGTTCCAGCCCTGGGACCAATTACGGAGAAGAGGCCTTGATCACGTTAGATGTAATTAGGTATATTTGCCGGTGAAACTACTTTCCTTATTTTTGTAAAATAAGGGAATCGTAAGTTTGAACGTGTAAACTCCCCGTTAATAGTTGTTGATTCCTATTGTTTTGTAAATAATACGATATTGTTTTTTAATATTAAGTTGTTTATTTGTCTTAAGCCATGCGTTGTTTAATGTATAGTTTGAAGTGGGATGTTATATACTGTTTGTGCCTTTAGTGGTGTAAATCTAGTCCTCATTCAAGAAACATTAGTTAAGTTCCAAGTTTTTGTTGGTTACCAAATTAATCAGCCATTTATCATGAATTAATCTTTATTTCTATTTAGTTAGAGGTTTTTATCCGTCTGTTTTATCAACCAGGTAAAAAGATTCTAATTGAGCACTTTACTAATTAATTTTATACATTAACATGTTGAACATGTCTTCTTTTCCATGCAATGGCCTTCATAAACCCCGTTCAAATTCAATGACAATTATTATATCTCACATTTCATTACCGGTAACTTATTAATTTACTCACACTACACACCAACCTCCAGGAAAGTTTATTGTGCTTGTATTCAATTGTAACAGTGATAAAAGCAAACAAAATCTCTTAGTAAAATTAGCTTTTTCCATTGTTAAATTAACACACCGTGATGCAACCACCCCAACCACAAACTAATTTAGCATTGACTGATATCATTGCACAAAGAAGCACAACTTTAAATTTGTTATAAAAGTTGTTTTGTTCCACTATCGTTTTTCATAACTAAGTTACTAAATTTAAAAAACAATCTTCTTATGCATTTAATTTTATTCAACAACTGTCTAGTTTTAAAATACACCTCCGTGGTTGAACCATTGGCTGTATGTACTCTTTTTGAATAGATTACAATCATCCAATTAAAAGATATAAACCCAAACCCACTTTACGACAAAAATAAAAGACTGAACAAAATGGCTATTAAATTACAATTAACAAAAATGAGCAACATTTTCAATGATTATTTATTATTTAAACAATTATTTTGTTATAAATATGCCCCCTGTTTCAAGATTGAATCCCCTAACTCAATTGTCAGTCTCATCTCAAGGTTTATCTACAGTCAATGGGTTAATTTTTCCAAAGCGTTTTATAAGTTTGTGGCCTTAAACTTTGCTACTCGTTGTAGTTTTTTTTTTTCACAATCTGTAAATATTAGTGTAATTCTGTGTACAAATGAACAGAACATTTGTAAATAAAATGTATAAATAAACGTCTGTTTATTTAATGGTTTGCTTGGTTTTAATATTAAAAGAACCTACCCGAATTGATTCATTGTGCCTGTGGCCTGTGCAGTGCAGGGTTGCCACCTTACGTTAGGGAAAAATAGGGACATTGCCTCCCTCCCCCCCGGATTAACATAGGATCATATTACGGGCATAGGGAACCAAAATCGGGACTGTCCCGGCAGAATCGGGACCGGTGGCAACCCTGGTGTGCAGTGGCACTTCTAGGACCTTGTCAAGAGGGTGGGGGGCTAACAGGGGTGCTCCACACAAAAAGGAGCGTCTCTCCCCCAGAAAATTTGCTATTTTGAAAGCTTAAGCCATTTGGCGACTTTTTAAAGCCATTTTAATGTCTAGAACTGTGTCCAAAAACCTCACGTTTTTAATACAAAATGTACATAGTTAAATTTATATTTTAGGGTCCAATGGGGTGGGGGGTGGGGCTTAAGCCCCTATAGCCCTCTTGGAACCGCCACTGTGCCTGTGTACTATCCTTGCAAAAACAGATGGTATTATTTTTACATTGTTTTTTTGATTTTATATAAGCGCTCCACTAGAAGCGTAGCTCAATATGTTACATTTCAACTTATTTTAAACCACCATTTTACTTGTAAATTTACAAGATAAAGGATCAAGATGCCAGGTGTTACCAATATGTGAAACCTATGAATTGTAAAAGTTTTGTTAATGTTCGTGTTTCTATCATAAGGTGAAAATATAGGTTTTTATTGTTTATCAAGAGTAGTAGGTAGATTATGAAATCTCACTTTGTGGTAAGAAATTATAGTGTTTGCAATATCTGTACAACATCCGTATAGTTTGACCAGGTAGCAAGAGGATTGTAGTTCTTATTGTAAAATATATTTTGATAATGGTTAAATTCTTTCCCCCCTCAAATTCTATAATTTTTCTGCTAAAGCCGCAGGGCACACTCAACCTAAAAACCAATTTTTAAAATTTCAAACACTGTTAATGACTAATTTCATATATATGTATGACCATTGATTAATCTTTATGTTTCTGTTTTAATATTGTTAAAATGAGTAAATAAATAGTGATGGAAATGTTGTACTGAAATTGACTATTCTTATTTTGACTTTGATAATAATTGACAATTTAATAAACACAGCTGCAGACTTAAAATAAACTTATAGTAGTAATATTTTTGGGGAACTTGGAATAAAGTTTGTTAACCATAGAAACAAAGTTGATATAAATAACCCAACATTTTTGGATCCAGTTAACAAGTAAATTTAAGTCATGGCTGATGCAAGTGTAACTGCTTTGCCCGAATATCCACAAGGGGTGGATAGGCTCTCTGATGTAAACCTGTCAGATACTCCAATAACTAATGCAGTTAGCAGTGAAAGTTCCGTCTCTTGTAGAATATGCTTCAAGTTCAACGCAGGAACTGATTTAATATCTTCTCCATGTCACTGTAAAGGTATTTTATTGATGTAAATTACAAATAAAGTCCCTTAGTTGCCATTAGCTGTATAGGCTACTAATTAACAGCTGTGTCTAAGGAATATGTCGGTCTTAGTCACTAACAAGACTAAAAGATCGCGTCACTCATCCTACACTCATCTCCATTCATACTTTGCTTAAAATACCTATTTCATTGAAAAGTATTAAAGTGCCATGTAGTTACATCGCACACCGCTGCAGGCGAGGAGCACAGGAGCCGTATGCTACCAGCAGACGCTGCAGCGGCGTGCGCCGTAACTACACGGCACTCCTAGCTGTGGGTGCCGGAACATATGCTAACTACAGCACTGCCGCCAGTCTATATTTATTCTATTTGTCTATGAGGAAAAAAAATGAGGAAAATAATTGTGAACTGTTTTATACAGGGTGAGTTTTTAATGAGTCCCCCCCCCCCTACTTTTTTATACATTTCTTAAGATATCAACTCGGAATCACATCAGATCATTGTAGAGTAGCAAGTACTTCATTTTGACTGGGTTTAAATTTTTGGCCGCCATCTTGGATTCGCCATATTTGATACAAAGTTATTTTTTCAAACGTAAAGGTAGGGTTGTGACCCACCGTCTCATACAAGACTTTTACGCTGAATACGAAAAACGATGCTGCAATCCGTTTAAAAAAATGTTGATCCATTCTAAAGTAATGAGAACTTTATATAACTTTATTTTTAGTCCATTTTAACATTGTGCATTTACAAACTAAGGCCATAATCTCAAAATAGTGCTAGATAAAGATAAGTGGACACCACCATTCATTGTTGACCTATTTTCACTCGGTTATGACGGATGTATTTTTTCAGCCGCCATCTTGGATCCGCCATTTTGAAATGTGATAAACTATTTTATCCATTTTTGTTATCAAGCTTTCTTGATAAAATATTACAATTATTTTTATTTAAAATGTCAATATTTCAAAAATCAAATATGACAATGAAAAACGGATTGCGGCATTGAATTCAGCATAAAAAAGTAGTTCAAAATGATGGGTCACAACACCACCTTCATATTTAAAATAATTTATCACATTTCAAAATGGCGGATCCAAGATGGCGGCAGAAAAAAATACATCCGTCATAACCGAGTGAAAATAGGTCAACAATGAATGGTGGTGTCCACTTATCTTTATCTAGCACTATTTTGAGATTATGGCCTTAGTTTGTAAATGCACAATGTTATAATGGACTAAAATAAAGTTATAAAAAGTTTTCATAACTTTAGAATGGATCAACATTTTTTAAAGCGGATTGCAGCATCGTATTCAGCGTAAAAGTCTTGTTTGAAACGGTGGGTCACGACCCTACCTTTACATTTGAAAAAATAACATTGTATCCAAGATGGCGGCTAAACATTTAAACCCATTCAAAATTAAGTACTTGCTACTCTACAATGATCTTACGTGGTTCGGAGTTGATATCTTAAGAAATGTATAAAAAAGTAGGGGGTGGGGAACTCATTTAAAACTCACCCTGTATAAAACAGTTCACAATTATTTTCCTCATAATTTTTTTACTTTTGAACAGCCGCCATTTTGAAATGACTTGATGAAACTTTACCATTTTCAACCCAGGCCGAGATAATGTATTCAAGCACTTGCGCGCCAAATTTAATGAAAATCGGTTCAGGCATTCGGTCGTTATAGCCAATTCATGGGGACCCAACATCCTCTTACGGCCGCCATTTTGATGACGTCATTACGGACGACCGAGGTCCTTAAAAATTGGGGTCTGGGCGGTTTTAGGTTCAGAAACTTGTATACTGTAACCACCTAAAATTGCAGCCTCTCCGCCAGAACTGAAATATTCTGCCACTATATGCAGCTATACGCACTAATGCAAACTCCAAGGATTTAATCATTCATATTTTGATGAACCTAAAAATAAAAATAGGTAATTCTAAAATAAGTTTTTAGGTGGACACAAAAATAGCATTAAGTAGTAAAACTAATATCAGATTTGTAATGACATTTTCAAACCCTACTTGTGTACTGTCCGATATCATCAACTTCCACTGCTGAGCTGACTACCATTAATTGGTTCGATCAGTGGTTTACTACTAATACTACTTTATGTTTAATATATCAGCCTTTGAGTCTTAAAGGGTTAAGTATCGTACCCCCTATAATTTACAACTAGTATTAGAATTGGGTATACAGTTACTTTTCACCACCCTTATGGCATTTTTATTTATATCAGCCAACACTATACTCTTGAAGAATTTTCCAACATTTATAAAGGGATAGGCCTATTTTACTATTGAGTTGAGTATATACACGTCAAACTGTTGTTATACAGATATAGATGATGTTGATCAACTTTGCTTGACAAGACAAGGTCTTAATATGAACACTTTTTCATTTACATTTTTCACTTCTTACCTAAAACAGAAGATTGTTGCTCAGTCATTCTGCATTAGTAAAAAATTTCAATTACAAAAGAATTATTTTATCAAATAAGATTCTATGAAAACTGTTTTAAAACTCACTTACAGGCAAAAACAAAAAGTAAAAAAACATTGGTTAAGATATTATTCAATTCCTCATGAAATTTACAGTGAGGTTGGTGTGTCACCTTATAGGCACTAAAATATCATGCATCTTCATCTTAGTTGTATATTATACAATAAAATAAATGTTTTGTAACACGCCCTGTTGGTAAGCTATTTTTTACTGATCAACAACAATGATTTACTATGTTTCTATTCGAGCAGGTACGTTGGGCTGGGTACATGTTACATGTTTAGAAGAGTGGTTGACAGGGTCAGTCCGAGATTCTTGTGAACTTTGTTCCTTCCCCTTCACTGTTGTAAGGATACCCAAATACGGATATTTTGAATCCCTCAGAATATTCCTTACTACTCGGATCAGTATACTGCGACTCCTACGAGACTTGTTCTTCCTGGCAGTGTCACTGATTAACACCTGCATTCTCATGTATATGTGGCTTGCTTATATACTCAACGATTTAGTTGTTATAATGGAAGGAAATACTGATGATCGTGAGTATATATATCTCCTACCACTCATTTGTTATTTAATCACCTTCACTAAGACTGTATGTGTTTTGAGATGAATGGGACTGCAGGGTATTATGAGTGTAGAATGGAAGGAGATGATCTATGTAGCTTCATTGCTGGCTAAGATCAGCTGTTTCTTAAGCCAGAGTTCAATTTCTGTATTTTAAGACTTGGTAAAGGATAGCTCTATGGATTCACCTGTCGACATTCTAACTTTTAGGTAGGTACAACCATATACAAATAGAATAAATAGACTGTCAAAGGAAGGTTCCGTGATGTGCCGCTCGGTGTTCGATTCGCTGCCATCGTTGGTTCCTTGCCGTATGCTACCAGCAGACGCTGCAGCGGTGTGCGCCGTAACTACACGGCAATCCTAGCGGTGGACGCCAGATTTTGTGCGAACCGCAGCATAGCTGACCGTCTATATTCATTCTATTTGTCTATGGTATAACCAACAACCATCTACCTACCATATTGCTACCATCTTATAGTCTCATTTATATTGCAA